TCTATCTATCTATCTATCTATCTATCTATCTATCTATCTATCTATCTATCTATCTATCTATCTATCTATCTATCTATCTATCTATCTATCTATCTTCAATCAAACTCACTATCTAACAATATTTAAGCTATAAACAAAACATATAGGGGGCAGATCTCTTACTGGATTTCTACATAACCTTACTCTGCCCCGGGGTACAGTAATAGCACATGAAACATCTTCGTAATTAGTAGTTTGCCATAGCAAAGGGAAAGTAATTATAGGCAACAACCCAGCCTATAAGTGCTCAGCCTTTATTTCCTTTGTTAAAGATGCACACGTTGTCTGTGCAACTCGCTAGTTGTGTTCTGCAAATGTCACAGCTCCAACGAGTGTTTATTAAGAGACGAAATTATTTTAAACTGATCGAAACAGAATAACTTCAAGAATAAAGACTGTAGTTATCGGCTTCATTCTCCATATATTTTAGTTGTAATTACGTGTGGTGGGGAATGTATGCACAGCTGTTAATGTGGTGCAAGAGGAGATAAACAAAAGAAGAAAAGCAGACTTTCACATGAAAAATACAAAACAAAAGAAAGCAAGAACTGTAATAGTGAAATGCTAGAGCGGGAGTTGCAGGGGATGTAAAATAGAGTGTGATTATGTTGAAGTTTGGCTGCTCTAAAATTACAGCTTATAAGGAACATTGTGGCCTTTTCCAAGCATGAAAAATTACAATGTGCATGCTAATAGAAAAGCTAAAAGCACATCCACTGTAGGTCCCTTGAGATAAAATGATGGATTTGAAGGTTGTGCAGTGTTTGAATACAGGACTACATAATCTGGAATTGCTGTGAAGGGATACTATGGGACGGGGTGTTAAGAAGCTGCTCTGTAGTGACTGTTTGCTATGTTGCATTGAAGAATGTACTGGTGTCAGCTCATTGAGTTTCTTGCCTTGGTGGCTGTTAAGTCTTTTAATAAGACTCTCTGATTCATTTCCATGGCTGAACTTTTGCCTTACTACAGGTGAACTTGAGGCGTGTTCTGAGAAACAAACAGCTCAAGGATTCAGCACTCGAGCTGTTTGCTGGAGTTCAGTTTTACCAATCATACATTTGCATTCAGCTCAGGATTCAACAAGTCTGGTAACAGAGCTGCTTCACCAGTGCACCTGTAGGTCTTCCAACACAGCATTACACAGTATAATAACAATTTCAAGCAGAATAAATGCAGTTAACATTGACTCTCTGATGGCCCTCTTTTATGTGGATCTGACAGCAATTTTCAGTCAGATCCACTTTCTCTAAATGCACCAATGCTATGCACCATAGTTACAATGGTCAGTGGGTGTTATTTACACTTCAATCTGCTCTTCTTTGATGTTTGGAATAATGTCAGCTCTTGACATCAGATTTCAATCATAGTGTCATGAAAGGACCGCTTTGGTCTGTGTTTTAAATAATGGGGCAATGGCAAAGAGGCAAGAGGAAACTGGGGACTCAAAACTGTGCCATCTGCAATGGGAATCAAACACATACCTTCAATAGGTCCATTTGAATCCACTTTAATCACTGAATGATCAACCCATATGGCGCTTTCCCGATAGTTACGTAACCATAACAAAAAGCCCACCAGTCTTCAGACTTAGGACTCTGGCCAAATTGGCAGGCTGAAAAAACGAGACGTCTATCAAGAAGTGGACACTTATTTCTCCTTGTTTCATTTCTTCTTTCTTATTAGGTCGTAAAAATGAGAAAATTCACATAAAAAATTCTTTGTATAGCACAATATCTGTGATTTTTAGTTTGAATGACGCTATCACTCCAGTGCATTTCCGTTCTTGAAAGAAAAACAGTCCAGGGAAGGTAAACAAACAAAGAAATCCTCCCCATCCAGAAATGTAATTAACACTGGGGAAGATCTTAGCTAGAAATGCACTAATAAAATTTGCTGAGGGGAGGATAAGTGCCATATATGGGCTGTCATTCATACAGAAGATATAATTCATGAATTACCAGTGTTACCGTGCACTCTATGTACCCGGCTTTGACAACAGATTATGTAAGTGCAGCATGAGCCAAGAAGTCTCAAATTCAAAACTGAGCACAAAAAGTCTGCAGGGACCCCTCAGTCTGACAGCGCTAGCCTGCAACAGGCAGCCTCAGCCATTCAGCTAACAGGATGCGTACAGGGTTAAAGAGAGTTAACGAGGAAAGAGTGAAGAAGGATGCTGTCTGTCAAACTGCAGTGAAATAAGAACAAGTGATTTCAGGAAGAAAGAGATGGTGCAAACAAAGAAAGAGGCGGAGAGTTAAAAGAGCCAGGATAAGGAGTGTAAGTGCAGACGGAAGAGAAAGGTTAAAGTCAGTCCTAATCCCATTAATGCACGCCACTGCTGTGCTTCACGCTGCAGTTTCCACATGCTGCTTCAAAGTAATCACCACATGTGTATTTGAGTCATTCAGCTCACCAGTGCACAGTGTGGGTACCATTTAAATGATATGAGCACTTAATGAAAAAAAATGTATGGAGACCAATGTGCCATCTGTATAATGCTGCCATTGTCAGGTTGAGAGCCTTTATTTCCAACCAGATCTGACTCAGAGCATGTAAAAGCCCCCAGGCAGTGTGGCATTGTGTGTGTGTGTGTGTGTGTGTGTTGGCTGTCATGTTGGTTTGTAGCTGGAAGGGTCTTCTAATACCATCTAAGTAGACATGTCTCTGTATCTGCTACTATTTATGTGGTAGCTGCACACAGAATTTCAAAAACTGTGTATATATGTGCATGCAGATGCACATCATTCAGAACTGTATGTGTATTAGACCAGAGCTTATATTTTTTTAAAAATTCAAATCTGGTCACAGAATGTGTGAGGCCGTTGGACATTTGTCACACATGGTGTTATCAATGTAAATGGTGCCAAACAGAGTAAAGGGAGAGTAGTGCTGCAACTGAATGCAGTTATTCAGGACGGGTCTACAGAGAGACTGAAGTGTGAGGAGCCCAGCTAATAGAATCAGGGAGAGATAGAAGACAAGGCTTTCTACAGAGAAACTGTGTGCCACAGACTACAGTTGTGTGCTCACATCACCACACTAGTTTTCAGTCATGGAAATAAATTAAATGCATTTATTCACAATGTCTGTATGTATATAGTGGATATTGTCACTTGGGTTTTGTATCAGCAATGAAAAAGGGGCTTTTTGTGAATGATCACCTGGCTCTGCAGTGTTTTCTTGTAAATTGCTTTGGCACATTGTTACTGTTTCGGTTCAGTCTTGCCAATCTCGGCAGCCACTTTGCAACTGTTGGCAGCTGTTTTCAACAATTAACTTAAGATAAATGCACTGTATGCCCATCATCAATTGGCAGACTAAGACAAATCAAAACTCAAAGGAAATTGGTGTTTGGACTTTGTTAAGTAACCTATAATATGGCTGTTTATGCAAATGTCACTCAATGCCTAACTGATGTGTAAACAGGAAAAATGCTGTTTGTCAGTTGCTATAAACAGATATCTTAACTTTTAATCTTAATATGTAAGGAAGGGACAAGGATTTTGGTATCAATAGCTTTCTGGTTTCATCTCATAACCCAGTATTTTAAGACTACATTTACAATGGAAATGCCTATATTTTGCAGTTAAACACTGAGAGTAAAATGGGTTGACCTGATGGACTCTTAGAAGACTAAGAGTTTGCATAAATATACGTGAAAAGGCATTGCAGTGCAAGTTCTCCTTTTTGTGGATTGTTAGCGTGCATTGTGATATGTAGTCATACATCAGCTCATTTGGGACATTTGGGCAAAGACAAATGAATCTGTGAGGGATTGAAGAGGAATTTTAACGCTGTGGCTTAAAGTAGGTCTTGTGCTCAGCAGGAGAGAAAGAGAGAGAGAAGGAGCAAAGTAGTTGAAAGCAGCAGTAAGACAAATGATGCTGGAAAGAGAGATGGTGAAAGACAGAGAATGAGCTGTAATCTGATGAAAGCCTCTTTACTCCCCTGTCACCTCACCTTCAGCCCACAAGCGATGACCAAGGCTTACACAGAGATCAATGCTGAGGCCGCTAGCACACAGACACACCGAGACACCAAACACATACACATGCTTCAGACATGCGCACGCACACACTTAATGATTAACTTTACAGGGACTTTCTCTTTGTCGCCAAAGGGAGGAGGTCCCCACAACAGATTTATGTGCACACAACATAAGTAATATAAATGCACGCTCACTCCTAAGATCGCTTCACTTTAAATGCTGTAAGGCTGCCTGTGGTACACGTGCAAGGTCCAAAGTAGATAGATGGTATACTGGTTGGGTAGAAACCATGATATTACATCTAAAATGAAGAACACATTTTGTTGCCTTTGTGTTTTAGGGGTTTATAGGTCACTCAGACATTTCAATAGACTTGTAGCTCAAAGGGAGAAAGCAGGAGTGTGAGGAGAATGTTTCACAGCTCACATACAGATCACGCTAATGCATTTAAACCTCAGCAACCAAATAATCCCAGCCAACACTGTTTTTTTTATTTTTATTTCTGCGTGTACTTTAGAAAAAAAAACAATCAAATATAAAAAAAAGGGCAAAGGACATGAATGAGAAAAGAGGAGATCTGGGTGAAGGCAAGGAAGATAAGCAAGCAATGAAAGCTATTTAAATCCTTGTTTATGTTACAAAAAAGTTTAATAGTAAAATGATGCAACTCAAATTGGCATTGAAATAGCCTTGAGTTTTGTTTCGCTAGAACAGAAGTAAATAGGAAATTGTGTCATTAATTTCTTCTAGCAATAACAATGCACTGTTCATTGAATGAGCTGTACCTTGTTATGACTATTCTTTTAGAACAACATTTTACTTCCTGATTTGCCATGTATACTATGGT